AGGAAATAGAAATGAATCTATGATAAATATTCAATTTTATATCAAGAGCTTAACTTACTTGATATTATAGTGAGTTGATAACGTTCATTAAGTATATAATAATGAATGTTCACTAAATAGAAATAGTTTGAACTGTGAAAACCATATTTATGATTGATATTTTAATAATCGAGACCGATCAATAAGTCACACCATTCGTTAATCACTACTCGTGAGAACTCTAGTCAACACTTTGTATATTTCTCTATTGTTTATGAATCAAATTCTAATAGGAGAATACATAGAAAAAAAAACTTCTTCATTTGTTTATTCAAATAGATTTTGTCTATTTCATGGAAGAAGTATTTAAAAGATCTGACAAAGGAATAGTCAATTGATAACATCCGTTTTACCTGCCAGTTTTTTTAATCATTATAAGCGTCATGGTATAGATGAAAAACTTAAAAAGATTTGTTTCATTGAATGTTTATTTTCAAGTTATAATCATTTTATAACATTTGTAACCCATGACAAAGTATTACAAGAACAACAAAATCTATGAATTGTATTCTCCAAATAAAGATTTCAATGATTATAAAAGTGTAGGTAGAAACTGAGGCTAAGGATAATATGATATCATAACTGGTCGAAGATGTTATTCAACTTCTACCTCATTCCTACCTTTGACCGTCGAGCTTTGGCAATGTTTCTGCAATTGCTAATCAATAATATGCACACTAGAATCAAAGAGAAATGAATGAAAGCTCAATAATTTGACAGTAGCAACTATCAGCTACCTATCGTTCTCAGCAATTGAAAGAGGAAAATGTCATACGTCTGTTTATCTGATATTATATACTGCTAAATTATTACAAAACCTATCATCTTTGTAAAACTTGCAAAAAACACATGAAAACGATGTTCTATATCAAGGAAACTTTGATAAAAACTCAAAAAATTTGCTAAAAATCAACAGAGTTCTATATAATTTGACTGAAAAGATACATGATTATATGCTGAACATTGAAGTATCAACAGATAATTGTCTGAATCGTGTCTCAAATTACAAATCTGAAGTTTATGTCAAAGTCAAGATAGCATCAAAACCAAATACCATTTCTTTACATTGTTGAAAAACGTTTTTCTCGACGATGATGAGTTTGAAAATAATTTTTGTCTCAAATAATATCAAACATGAGGGTGTCCGAAGTTTTCCTCTTTGGATTGATGAAAACTGCACGTCGCAATTTTCGCTGTTGTTAAGCTTACATCGGTTATTTTTTAATTTCGACTTAGACATTAGTATTTCAGTTACTCTGTTGTATTATCGAGACTGTAGCAATGTAATACCTGAATTAATTATCATGTCTTATACACACACTTGCAAATCTTGTTTGTGTATAAAATAGATTCAAACAATCATTGGACTCTTATGTAATAAGCTAATTAGTTATTATTTCTATTTTGTTGTAATATCAATGACTAAAAAAGATATTCTAATAGTTAATGTTGATTCATAATTGAATTCATATTCTGTAATCGTTAATATATAGTTCGTTTTATAAATATTTATAATTTCTATTTGCTATGTTAATGTAATTTAAATAACTGGAAGATTATGAAAATTTTCGATTATTTTCTTTCCTTTTTATTGATTTAATTTTTCTTGACTTTTGTATGGATGGTACAATAGTTTCTGATTCAATCATATTGGATGAAGTTGGAGAAGGTCTTTCTTCTATGGTTTGATTATGAGAAACTATTTGAGTTGAATATACCTTTCCAAATGTATGATCAGGCATTGTACGAATATCTGAATCACTTTTTTGTATACTGCTTTCATATAATATTGGTAAATAGATAAATTGAGAACGAGATTCTTGTGTTTCTTTTTTTCGTCGGCCTCTCATGGCTGTTCGACGTCGTTTTGAAGGCATATAATAGAAATAAAAAATAAATAAATAAATACAAAAGCGCTTTATTTATTTCAAATGAATTTAGTATTCGTTTGTACAATGATCAAAGTAAATGAAGTAATAAGAAGAATGAAAAAACAGAATAAAATATAAATTCTCGGTTCATTATTAACTTTATAATGATAAATAATTATTGATCGTCATGTTGCTTTTAATAGTTGTGAATATGAGAATATCGCGACAATTAAAATATTCTTTTTTGATCAATATAAACCTATGAAGAACGTTTATCAAAAAAATGATTCAGAACTCGTTCAATGAGAACTGATTCACCTTGATAGATAATGTATCTCTTTTCAACTAGGAACGTATTTCAAAAACTGTATAAAAATGACTTCAGAACGCGTTTTAGACCGTTCTCTTTCTATAAACTCTTTTCAACAGTAGCAGAGTTTCAAACTGAATAATATTCAATTAACAACGATTGAAATGTATTAGAGACCGAATCTAATCGGGATTCGATGGTTCCAGTTCGGTTCCTCTTTGCGTTTGAAGAATTAGTTCCGGTTCTGGTCGATTCGAATAACCAGTTCTTTCCGATCAAAACTGGACGATATGTTAGAATTTTCTCTTCAAAGAATTAGTGTCTCATATTAGAGTTGATAACAGCGTAAATAAACACTGTTCAATATACCTATGAATTATAAGAAAGTGTTTAATATTCATGGATAAACATCACCAACGTTTATTTTTAATGCATAAGCTCACACGGTTACACTTAATAGTTGATCGCAACACAGAAAAATGGAAAAATTTTAAAGAGATGAAAATTTAAGAATTATTTTGCATAGAAGTGATCCATCGTCATAACCATAATTATTCTAACTGCTATGAAGAGCAAAAAGGCTGTACCATATGGAAATCAAATTAAGACAGTGTTACGAGCATGCAATCTACGTATTCACTATTATTCATTTGCTGTTGATATCTTGGATGTTACAGTTCTGATCTATTATTAAAATATCAAGAGCACTGATTCTGTCATATAATTATTTATGTTTCAGATCTATTCTTGACATATTGTAATATGGCTGCATCGAATCCTGATTCTTCAAAAAAATAGTTTTAATGATAGTATCGATAATGAATCTTCCACTCCAATGTTAGAATAATTCAGTGGTGAGCAGACCAATGGCTTGATATGAATAATGTTTTGTTTTGTCTCTTTCCTAAGAAATTCAACCAAAATCGATATCTCTGTAAATAAAACTCAATTGTCGTCATCAGAAACAGATGCATTACACACGATCTATATAGTAATCGTTAAAATTTCGAATCCTTTCAAAGCATCATAAAAATATTAGATCTCTTCACACGAACAATATCAAAGCCAACAAAATAAAGAAACTTATTGATTGAATCCATTGCAAGTAACTGTCTTAATTATTCCCCAGATGTAAAAGTTATTTTCTTTATGTCAACAATCTGTATTCCGTCATACACTCCATATAACAGAACACCTTTTGCATTCAATCCGTCACAGTCCATGTTATCAATTACAACCGAATTGTGACGCGGCTACATCGTAACTGCAGTTGCAATGTGATTCCGAATTACGACAAACTACGACTCAATACCCATAGCTATCGTAAAAAGAAATCTCAGTCACACATAACTGCATCACAGTTCTCAGCAGACCATCGCATTGTCAAGCAAGAGTTTCCAGGATTAAATCTGCTGTTCAGAAAATAATACTCTTCGTTCCTTTCGTTCATTAATTTTAGATCAATAGAGTAAGAATGAAAAAACTGACATTAAATACGAATTCTTCACCACCCTAAAGCATCAAATCACAGCAAATGCGCTTATGGAATTTAGTCACAGCTTTTGTCTTCAGAAAGAGTAGCCCTCTCTCAAGGGTAGTCATAAAATATTAACAAAATGCAAATTCGACCATGGATTCGAAATCATGATTCTCGACAACCATCAAGTCTCCATTTTGATTCCAGAAACAGTGTATTCCGAATGCATACTCTATTGGTTGTAGCAGAATGAAATATGAACTTTGCTACTGTTTTGTAGTGTCCTAAATGTTGATGACTTCACATTTTTCTTTTCTTTAAAACAACTGTCAAAGGTGCAATTGTGATTGTATATGGTCCGTATATCACGTAGTTGGTAGGGACAGTATTATAGTGGTAAGAGATCGTGTCGTATACGACGAAATACACCTGTCTTTTACATTGATATATATTTCAATACGGCCATTTTTTTCAAGAACACTGCAGACTACACCAACGTTTACAAAGATGCATGCCCGTGAACCACCTTACCGATTGTAAAAAGAACAGGAACACCGATGCGTGTGACTGTGCCTCTTGTTATCACACAGATTGATGATTACGAATTCTACAAGAAAAAAAAAACTGAAAATTATGATGATCGAAAAAATGCTGTTTAAGTCGTTTTTTATCAAATAAGTTGTTTCAGTATTGCTGATGTTAGCGCCAACAGGTGTCATACGGTGACGCTAACCGGCCCATTTTCGTTATCATTGGGTTATGTCATCCTCTTTGATGTGTTCTCTTTAATTTTCTCCCTCCGTTTGTTGTTGAATTTCATTCTCTCTATCCATCTTCTTGGAAACTGTTTCATCAACATCATTGTCGTTGTTATCGATTATTCTTTCTTCTTATTATTTATAAAAAAAAGAAACATATTAACAAGGGAAACGATAAAGTTATTTATATTTTTTGAAGACAAATTAAGGCAAGTATTTTACATGAAGTCAGTTATTATTTAACAGTCGAAAGACTCACAATTGGTGAAGAAGATGAGCAGTGATAAATACTCTTCTGCACATGTATCATCACTCTCACTCAGTACGAGCTCATTAAACAGTGCTGAACTGTGTGAAAAGGGGAAGTGTTCATGTCATTGATGGTACACTTTGACGCTAAACTGGGATAAAAGTGTCCTTGCAAGTCTAATTGGCTTCGGACACTCACCTGATTCGAACAAGGTGTGTGGTTCACATCTCACGAAGGGCATATCTTTTCGTTCAATCCTCTAAGATCAGAGACATTCCTTAGTGCATAGGCTCTATTCATATTAGAGCTTACAAATAAAGCACTTAGAACAAGGATATCATTAAAAATAGTCCTTCCTTTACAAAGGTTTTTCTATCCGAACAGAAATATAACACATTCGAAGTGATTCAGTTTTCTTATAAAATAGCTTCAACAGATTCATTTTCATGTGCATTCACTTTCTGAAAAATGCACTCATTCGTCTTTTCAGCGTGTGCTGTCAGTTGTTTTTCTTTCTCCTATTTTTATCATTACATAGACAGTTCTCTTTCACGTCGAACCGAATAATTACTCAAATTTGTTTTTTTTCTCATTATATATATTGCGCAGTAGGAAGTAGATAAATAAATGAAATTTCAATTTATTGAAAGTCATATTTGTCGATCGACATTTCTTGATCAATTACTACTGTCCGTGAAACAAACATATCATAGTGAGACAGATTTTTCTTCAAACAATACATTCCTAGTAAATTGTGCAAAGATGGCGTCAAGATATACAAAGTAGCGAGTATGAGTAGAAACACTTGGCATTTTATGGCTTATACCGGGAAGCAAGATATGACCGCTGGTCTTGCATATCCTCAAACAGTCATAATAAATTTATTAGGAAACCTTTTTCGGGTGCTATCGAACTGTAGTAGCTGACAAGTTCTTCACTAGCAATTCTCTTGCAGAACGTTTGTTGCAAAACAATACATATCTTATTAGGATATTGAGAAGTAATAGTATCAGATCAGAAAAAGAAGTTGCTCAGAAAGAGTTCAAGCGTTGTGAAGTTTATGGATTTCAAAACAAAGACGACATAAAGTTGACCAAGTGGATATATAAAAGAATTGAATGAGCGTATTATGAAGCCACAACTTGTACTTGTTTACAATAAAGGAAAACAATGTATAAATTTATCAGATCAGCTATCAGCATACTATAGATGTCTTAAATGATCTATAAATAGTGTCAAAAGGTGGCATTTGAATTGATATTTGGAATGGCAATAATTTGTAGCTATGTGATTTACAAGAAAAACTATACCACAAGCAACATGACGATTCTGCAGTGTTGCGAAAGCCTTGTGGAACGTTTACTCTGTGGTATGCTACTCGAGAAGCTGAAACCTGCCTTGAGACAACATTCAGCAAGTCAGTCGAAGCGCAAACTTGCTGGTTACAAGCTCGAAGAAAAAAAAGCACCTGTACACATCATTCAAAGACGCAATGCTAACTGCTATGAGAAAAACAGAGAACAATATGCAAGAGAAGCGAGTCATGCAGGAGCGTAGAAAATAAAAACCCGCTTGCTCTAATTGTAACAAATTTGTTCGTCTTGATTGTTTTAATAAGAACGGCCACGCTATACAATATATAATTCAAACAACAGCAAAGACAGAGCAAATGAAACATTATGTATAAATTTCTGCCTGAAAAAAAAAGGAAAATTAATTATTTTTGTATTAAATTTTGTGTTGAAAATATAGTGGAACCTACCGGTAGAGCCCATCGCTTCGAATGTGTTAAATGAAGTGGCTTTTAGGGCAGAGGCTTTTGAAAGCTGAGAAAATTTTCACTAGGTACTAGTACTCTACTTATACATGAGACTATGTGGTGAACGTTGATTTAAACCTGACTTTTCTCTTCACCGACACCCCATCGCAGACACATCCCCACGTCCACACCTACACCGACACCCGAAAACATCTAGATTTAAAGCTATTTAAGCTGCAATATACATTATTTCTTTTTCCATTGGCTAACATCTTTGTTCTGAAATGATAAAATTAGACTAGAAGAAACACATCTATGAAACTCTCGAACCTTCGGTTCAATGTAGAGATTTTAATTAAAATCTAATGACCAATGACACACTTAAGAATATTCAAGTTAATTTTTGAAAATTATTCTTAGGCCTTCGAAAAGTAGCAGATTCTTACGAATTC